TTAAACAAAGACAATCAAAGACCTGATAAGCCGATCAGATCAATAATCTCTTTCTCTATACTTCAGCTAATATCCTCACAGGAAGTTAACGCCTGTTCATCCTCTTCATCATCATACTCATCAACGTTGGAGCCAAAAAAGAAAAGTCTATTAAATCTTTTAAGTAACGAGTAAAAACAGGACGAGAGCGTTCGTCCAAAATGTGATTTAATCTGAAGCTTTGCTCTTTTTTATCAGACTGAACCTGATCCAGACAAACAGAGCTGATTAAAATTCAAATCTAATATCAAATCTGATTATATCAGAATATAAAAACAGGAAGATTTATAATGACGCTCATTTCACATGAAACTAGAATAAATAAAACTGATGTAAAACATGAAGAGAGAACATTTTTACAATGATTCAAGTGTCTGCTCCTTCATCTCTGTCATGTTCTTATGTATAAATACTCTAAACATGGATCAGACCTGAGAACAGCTCAGTGTTGATATATTTAATCACAAACTTAAATCCTTTTCAGTCTTGGTTTTCATTGGAATATTTAAGAGACATTATTTTTCATCTATTGTAATATTTTAATATTGTTTTATGATTGTCGACTAATTCCACAAATGTCTCAGTGCAGTGACGGAGGTTTGACACTGTTGTGTGTGACACACTTTACTGCGTAACATTAAAGCTGTGTCGACGCACCGGATTTATGGTTTAGTGTCACTTTACGACTTTCGATCTGGATCCATTGCAACTTTACTAAATTAATAAATTAGTATTTTATTTTCAACATGTGTTGTTCCTCTTTGTGAACAGGTGAGGGCGTTGTTTCTTCAGTCTCCCTTTCAGTCCAAAGACGACAGCGTGTCCATCATGGATGGAACTGACGAAGGTAACATGTCTTAATGTTGTTCGGTAAAAGGGGGGGGTCTGATGACATTACCTGTCGGGAGACTGGTGGAGAATAAACGGTGTCTGCGCTGGCTGCAGTATAGCTCCTAAACCCTCCTCCTCCATGTTAGCAGATGGGACATGGACCAAACTAAAAAGTCAAAGTAGACGTTAAAGTAATGTTTGTAAAGATGTCTAGTCTTCTCTCTCTGATGTTTGTTCAAGGGTTTCTGATCAGTTTGGTTTAATTAGTTATTGTAGATATAAAACAGGCGGAGATGTTATGATTGACAGCTGACACTGACTCAGGGTTGGTCAAGCATGTGTGTGGGCGGGACCTTAATGCCTCCGCTCCATTCCACGATCACTACTGCAGAGACTCTAAATGACGTCATCGCCACAAGATGGCAGCGTTTGTATCTGAGATATTCAGTATGTTGACTTGTTGAGGTACAGTTCACTCACAAGGAGACACAGCAGTATTTCTATAGATGCAGGTGAATCAGCCGCAGCAGATGGAATGTTTATTGTCTTTCCAAAGTTAAATCAGCATCAGTTTGTCTGCTGAGTCTCTGGAGGACATTTGTCTCTGCTCTCATCTCATCTCTAATCCTCTATATTGGCGTTTTCGTTGGGGAAATCAGAGTCACAGCTCTGAGGTTTATATAAAGAGAAACTAGACGACTGTTCATCAACAACAAGGACACGATGAGATAAACAACGTCTGTCATCTAATAAACTTATCAAGAGATGAGGACGTGTTCTGATGAAGAGGACAGTCTGTCAACATCACTGACTGTATATAAAGACCATCAGTGACTGTTTGTAAAGATAATCACATGTCCACTTCCTCTAGATATGACGCTGCCATGTTGTGGTTTTTATTGAATGTCTATTTTTATAGTTTGGTTCATGTCCCATCTGCAAACATGGAGGAGCTATACTGCAGCCAGCCACCAGGGGGAGACCCAGGTGATATGGCTTCAGTTTGAGGAGCCGTCTTGTCTCCATCTTTATTTAGTTTATGGTTGTGACCCTGTGGTGACCTCCTCTTCTCTGTTATCACAGTGAACCACTAATACCAGTGTTACAGGACATGTATAGAATATATAATGTGTATATAGAATATATTATGTGTATATTATAATGTGTATATATAATGTGTATAGAATATATACTGTGTATATTATAATGTGTGTATAGAATATATAATGTGTATATATAGACTAAACAGGACTGACGTGTGACACGCTCACTGTGAATGGACATGAGCTCGGCCCTCATATAATCCAATCCTTTTAAACTAGTTCATACAAGCAATTATGTCCATGTGGGATAATGTTCCACTTAATCTTGAAGAGGGAGGGAGGATGGGAGGGAGGGAGGGTGATTAAACCCCCCCGTATCCCCCGGTTCATTTCTGAAGCTGAAATGTTTTCTCCTTCTCTCTGAGTGGGATCAGCTTGTTACTCTGCTCCACCACAAATGTCTTTTTAATGATTACTGAATTAACTTCTTATCCCGCTCCACTTTTCCTCCGTCAGTGAGCCACTAATGGACAGAGTCCTGCTCCTCTTCAGAAGTCTAACCGGATTCCATCAGCCTTATTATCGCTCAGATATTTTGCCATTCTTGCCCTGGATGCTTATCCCCGGCTGAGATTACTGTGCGAGCGTCCTGAATTGAAGCGACTTATTGTTAATGCAGATCTCTTGAGTGGTTACTGGGGGCAGAAGGGTGCTAAGTGCCGGTGTTTAGCTCCCGACCTAAAGCCGAGTCTCTTTCCCTACTTGTTTGTTTTGTTTGAAAATTGCTTCTTAGTGTCTCTGCATCAGAGTTTATGGTAAAGCTCCTATGATACAGTCTCTATCAGGCCCAGTAATCATGGACTTCTGCATGTGGCCGAGGTCAGAGGTCGCTGGTAAAAGGCACTAATGCATTCAGCAGCTGAGAGCAAATATTCTGCCATAGACGCTAATGTCGTCTTTGAGTTGACCTGAATAACAGATCGACCATTAGCTCAGGACATGTTGCTCTCATGTCTTTATTTTAGACGACTGATGTGTAAATGACTTTGTCAGGAAGAGAAGATTTATTAATAATATCGTTAAGTAACGTACGGGATTCTGCAGAATCTCCTCGAACATTTCTGGAAAAGAATCATGGGATTGTAAAACAGTTAAAAGGAAAATTTTAAACTTATTTTCCTCAAAGAAAAACTCAGGTCAAACCAAAGACGGTAAATAAAGATGGACCACGTGAAACATGTGGTACGAACGCTGCCGTCTTCATTCCACTGTTCAGCTGTGGTAAAGGGTCCCGCCCACACACTCATCTGACCAATCCTGAGTCAGTCTCAGCTGTCAATCATGATGCCTCTGTCTGTTTTTATATCATCAAATAACTAATAAAATCAAACTGATCAGAAACTGTTATATTTTCATCTAGCGCCACCATCAGGTCACCAGTTTAGCGTTAGCATGTTAGCAGTTGACTGTAATGTACAGATGAAGGGTTTGAACTCAACTTTGATTTTCTGTGTTCAGGGATTTCTGCCTGGATCACTGTGAACTTCCTCACCGGTGAGTGTGAGTGTGTGTGTGTGTGTG